TCTTCGATTAACCTGTTATTAATTGTGTCTAATGGTGTTCTTTTCGTCATTCAATAAATAATTAGAGAATCCCCCAGTTGTTACTATTATTTATTATTATTAATAACCTTTACAACCAAATTAAAAATTTTGAAATACATATTACCAAAAAAAATAACTCAGTACCCACAGCAGTGAGACTGTCTCTTATACACATCTAGATGTGTATAAGAGACAGGTATTGCGACGATCAGGGTAGACGGCAACGACGTGCTCGCCGTCTACAACGTCACTAAAGCCGCCAGGCAGATCGCAGTCCAAGAGAACAGACCTGTTCTCATCGAGGCCATGACCTACAGGTGAGTTTATGTTCTTAACTTGTACTATCATTCATTTATGAATATTTATCATGTTCTGAAATCCTTACTTGTAAACCTGTAAACCTAAACCTGTAAACCTAAACGAGAACAGACCTGTTCTCATCGTGGCCATGACCTAGAGGTGAGCTTGGCATTAACTTGTGTTACCATTCATTTCTTTAGGCTTACTTACATCAAGACTTTTATTGCCAGCATATACCTGTTTATTACTCATTGCGTAACAATGACCAGACTTTATCTCTTGTTTGTCCGAATATTTTTCCAAAAAATCCTATGTCATTACGCAGTTGATTGTGCGTCTCAAACCTCTATTGGTCCTGGATCAAGAACCAGCGATATTGATACTGAACCATGCGTAGTATTGAAGGCTGAATATGTGTTGTACAGTGTGTTAGTATTACAGTATGTTGGATGGGTATTGTAGGATGGTAGATGGGTATAGTAGGATGGCAGATGTGTGTTGTAGGATGGTAGATGGGTATAGTAGGATGGCAGATGTGTGTTGTAGGATGGTGGATGGGTATTATATGACAGTAGATGATGTAATGCAGACTGTTGATGTATGACGACGTGTCCATGCCCCCAGGATCGGGCATCACTCGACATCAGACGACAGCTCGGCGTACCGCAGCGTAGACGAGGTGCGTCACTGGGACAGCACGCAGCACCCAATAGCCCGTCTCCGCACCTACATGGCAGACCGCGGCTACTGGGACGACGCTAGGGACAAACGCTGGAAGGAGGACTGTCAGAAGCAGGTACATAGGGCCGCCATGTGATGTCTGGGTGAGCCATGTGATGTCTGGGTGCTTAGGCTAGGGCTGCCATGTGATGTCTGGGTGCTTAGGACTGCCATGTGATGTCTGGGTGCTTATGGCTGCCATGTNAGGGCTGCCATGAGATGCCTGGGTGCTTAGGGCTGCCATGTGATGTCTGGGTGCTTAGGGCTGCCATGTGATGTCTGGGTGTTTAGGGCTGCCATGTGATGCCTTGGTGCTTAGGGCTGCCATGTGATGTCTGGGTGTTTAGGGCTGCCATGTGATGCCTTAGTGCTTAGGGCTGCCATGTGATGTCTGGGTGCTTAGGGCTGCCATGTGATGTCTGGGTGCTTAGGGTGACTATCATGAGTCATGATTCATCTATCACCTATAATATATATAATATAATAATATAATAAATCTTGATTATGGTCACCTCAATGACCTCTCCGTGTGTGCAGGTGATGCAGGCGTTCGCTGCGGCCGAGCGCCGCGTCAAGCCGGACTGGCGGGAGCTTTTCTCGGACGTGTACGCTGACATGCCCGCCTCCCTCAGGTACTGGTGCCCGCCTCCCTCAGGTACTGGTGCCCGCCTCCCTCAGGTACTCGAACGCCATCATGCTCCATACACCATCAGTAATTCATGTGTCATACATCATTCAGTAATTCACACGCCATACATCACTACTAATTTACACGCTATCAATTCGGCATTCATTAATGCATTTAATTCATTCAGCCTCAGTAAACCAAAGCTCTTCTCTCCGTTCGAAATTTCCCCAGAAAATGTATAGTCCACGTGCATGTCTGTGAAGATTTGCTAAGTTGGCCCATTGAAAAGTCTTGAATAAATAAGCTTTGGGTTGGAATAATTCTTTGATTACAGTGTTGATTGATGTTTAACGGTAATATGTGATCATAGTTTATAAATATGGCGTTCAATTATACTGCTTATTTTAATTGTTTAGTAATAGTGTTTGATTATAGCATTCATTGCTCAGGGCTCAGATGGAGGAGATGGAGCGACACGTCAAGGAGTACGAGGACTGCTACCCAACCACCAAGTTCAGCGGACACTAAACCCTGGATAGCGGACACTGAACCCTGGACAGCGGACACTGAACCCTGGACAGCGGACACTGAACCCTAGCCAGCGGACACTGAACCCTAGCCAGCGGACACTGAACCCTGGACAGCGGACACAGAACCCTAGCCAGCGGACACTGAACCCTGGACAGCGGACACTGAACCCTAGCCAGCGGACACTGAACCCTGAACAGCTGACACTGAACCCTGGACAGCGGACACTGAACCCTGGACAGCGGACACTGAACCCTGGACAGCGGACACTGAACCCTGGACAGCAGACACTGAACCCTGGACAGCAGACACTGAACCCTGGACAGCAGACACTGAACCTTGGACAGCGGACACTGAACCCTGGACAGCAGACACTGAACCATTAGTTACTATATCACTGAAAAACACATTTGTGTCAATTACTGAGTTTGCTTGTGTAAATATTGCGTACAAGTGTTTTTATTGTTTATTTTTATGGGTATTGTGAGTGCAGAATCTAGCAGACAATTTTATTAGACGGTTGATGAACTGAGGAGTAAAGTTTATACATGAAAGAAAAATTCATTTAGAAAAGAAACGATTTCTTGGGTGTGAGATGTTTTCCAATTATCTATGATTTTGTTCAAGTGAATCTTGCCAGTATTTGCTCTTGTCAAGTATTCATTACATTTATAAATTAGATTGGTTCATTGGATAAATTAACAATTGTTCCGTGTATTTATTGTTTTTGATGTTAATAAATGGTAAATGAGTTGATGAGCTCTCTAGATGAACTATTTAATCTCATTAGTGAAATAATGAAAATATTATTGCCTATTTTGCGTGTCATTTACTTCTATTTTTATGTGTTTGTTCTTCTGGTCTAATTTCGCACAAAATTCATGGAATATCAATACTGATAGATTTTTTTTCATTTGTATGCAAAGTTTGAAGTAGGAATCATGTGAAGATTTTAAATACTTTTGTTTCAAACATCAAACCAAAAAAAAAATGATTTTTCGATGCATTTCAAGCCTTTTTCAAATAGAGGTCCAAATTATGTATTATTTTTTATTTAATTTAATAATGATCTTATTAGGGCATTTGTTTACGGCGTCAGAAAGATTCATGTTCATTATTGTTGATCATTGATTAATTTGATTAGAATATTATTGCTTACTGATTAGTTTAGGCATCGCAGTGCAAATTAGAAGTAGAGGCGCTCAGGTGTTTTACTGCCCTGGTAGTGAGTGATGTGAGTGTGGTGGTGGTGGTGGTGGTGAGTCATAACATAACATAATGATCTCGGCGCTGAAGTGTAGGCCTGATGTGGCCTGTCGGCGATTTTTCCTTTTCGTGCCTTGTTCACAGAAGATCTAAAATCGTGTCATTTGACCGTTCATGACTGACGATAGTTTGAAGTAGCTACTAGACTTCCACCGAGTTCGATATGGTGCTAGGCATTTCAAATCTGAACATATATTTTTCCATAGCTTTATCTAGTCTGTTCTTGAACGCGTTCATACTTAGAGCGCCAATGATGTCATCGGGGAGGCTGTTCTACTTATACTTAGCGAGAAACCCGCTATGAGCCCGTGACCCGCAGTGGTCCGTTTGCCCCATGTTACCCTACATGCACGTGAATTCAACCACTGAATACCAGACAAAAAGCGTCAATAGAGACCGCCGCCATCATTGGTGTATTGTCCGCACGCTCCACCAATCACCGCCGCGCTATTATGCTCGCAAGCTTCTCCCGAGCGCACGGCAGAGAAAACTCGATATATGCAAATTCTTGAAGCTATTCTCGGTAAAATTTCGCGAAATATTGATTAGTTAGACTAATAACAAAATTGCTACGATAAAATCGTTGATACTGTCATAATTGACTCTATCTGATGCTTTGAGCATACGTGCACTGGTCAATCATTTGAGTGATGGGATTTTTGTTCAGTTATCCCTAGTTTTACAATTTTATTTATTATCATAATAAAATTATAATGAGAAAATTACTACAATTTTGAATCGAATTCATGTGAGAACATTTTTCACCAACAACATGTATTGAAAAATTGAGGAAATATTCATATTTAGATTGCTTTACTTCGAAAATTTTATTTTCACAAATAACATACTGTGTAAAAATGTCGGGGAGTCATCCAATTGTCAGAGTTATGTAATTTCAAAAAAAGTAAATTTTGCTAGATCGTCCTAGCGACGATCTGATACAGAAGAGGTTGCACCCTGTAATGGGTAAGCGCTTGAAATCGCGTTAACGAATTAAGGCGCTTAATTTCAAGGAGTTCAAAATGAACTAATTTAACCAAATTCATTGCAATTTCATCCGACAGTTCGAAACAAAATCTTTAGAGTGACAGCATCACATTTTTGTTAATTACAGCAAGTCAAAAATAATATATTTCCAAAGGACGTAATGAAGAATACAAAATTCACTGCCATTGACATGGAATTACTGAAATCTAGAAATGATATTAAACCTAGCGTCCGTTGAAAAGATTTGATCACAAGGCCAGTCTAGTCAAGAAACGTACAAGAATCGGCGAGAGGCCTATTCTTCAATGCCGTAGATATTATATTATACCATTAGAGCACAATAACTCGTACATAATAAATTAGGTCCCCAAAAAATTATTTAACGAAAGTTATATGAATAACATACACTCATAAAAATGAATGGGGTATATTGTCCAAATTGTGACAAATTTCCTATACGAAGCACCGATAACAATTTTGCCAGGAACAAATTGGGTCAGGGTGACCGCAAAAGGAAAAAAAGTCCGTTGCTATTGGGACCAAGTCCCGCTCAAGTCTTCGAGTGTACGAAATACACAGTTTGATGTGAATATTTTAACAATTTTAAACTTTACACTGAACATTTTTAAAGAAGGTTTCAGTATTATCGGTCATGAAATATTCGCAGTTTAGTGTGAATGCAGAAATTGTTCAAATAAGCTTCATTAAATGAGGTTATTGAGGAACATATGAACTAAACCCACCCCCTTTGCCAACCCTTCTCCTCCCCACGACTGTCGCTCTGCTGGAAATTATAGGACCAAGCAGCCGGTGTCATCAGCTCGGTAAAAATTGAACTAATTTCTAAGTTTGAAATCAGGGTAAACTTATACCATAAGAAGCGTAATTACGAAACGATTATTTTTCTTAAAAGGGGTTTAACCCAAAAGGAAAAACTTCGAAATCGGCGCCGTTTTCGAGATATTCTCGTTTAAACTTTGCGCCGCGGCAGGCGTCAACTAGGAACGACCGTCAAAAATCTTCCCGTGTACAACCAGAGAAATTCGTGAGATTTTGTCCAAGTAGTGATGCACTTTTTGCTTTGGTGTATTCTATCCTGACCGTGTTTGGCTTGGCAAAGAGCCTAGCCTGCCCATCACTGCTAAGTGTATAAAGTGTGTAAATTAATAAATTTGGAGGGACTGATTCAGACGAAGCAAGGGACGAAATCTTCGTCTCTATTTTAACGGGACGAAATCTTGGTCATTACAGTCATAAAAATGTGTGGGACTTTAGCGATAAACTTTTTATAATAACAATAATATTAATAGCGGTTTCAGCGTTTATTAGGCCGTACGCCTGTCGCCGATTCTTAACATCACAGAACATCCACAGCATTTTGCGGTCTCGAACTCGCAACTCACTGCTACAATTCTGTTGTGCTTAACCGCTCGGCCTCCGCGCCGATTCTGACCAGAAACTGGCGCTCAGAGCTGGGATCGAACCCGCGCCTCTCTGCGCCAATCCTGGTACTCTGAATTGTAACCACTGGGACACCCTGCCATGTGTGAGTTTTTAAACCCTGTTTGGCACGGCTAAAAGTTGCATATCTGTGTTACGAGCAGAAATAGTGTTAATATTTCGACAACATTACCCGTCAATTTTTCTTAGTTTACCTACGCGCGTTGTAACTTCCAATTCAATTTCCTACAATTTCGCAATTTAGCTTTGATATTACCTAGTTTCTTATCTATAACTAATTTCTTTACCGTTCCAGCAAATATTTAGTCTACCAGCATTAGCTAACATAATTAACGTATCATTTCAGACATAGTTAATTAATTTACCTCATCAGCTTCAGCTGAGCAGCTTAGTTTATCAGGCTAAGCTAGTTAGCTAAATAACTAAGCTTATCAGACTAATCGGACAGTTTCCGCACTAACGCGGTGATTGCTTTGTTACAGCCGTTATTTTCACCTGTCGACTGTCAAAATTGGAAAAATATGCCTAAAGTATCTTAAATAAATAATTCGAGCATGGTTATCACTTTAAGATTTACTGCAACGTGATCTATTCCCTAACAGGGGAAATTTTATTAGTTATTTGACTTCAAATTTCGATACCAACGCAACGGTTTAGGGAAGAATGCAGCTGCGTACAAATTATCGGACAAGTGTTAATAATAAAAAAAAATTGTTGAATCAGTGACCGAGCATTTTGTTTAAATTCGACCAAGCGATACAAGTTTTCAATAGATTTTCCTAAATTTTATCTGGAACGAATTTTCATTAACGAATAATTATACGGATTGCTTCTAATATATTGGTACTTCATCAGATTTATTTTTTTTTTCGTGGTAGCGCTGAATTTATTATCCACGATTTAATTAATACCAAAGAAACTTTTATTAACTATCATTACATCTATTTTTAATTTTCATTAAAACTCATTTTTTTAAATCAAATCAATTTCACTCAAATGTCTTCAGTGAATTTCGCGGTGCTTGCTTTGTTATAGCCGTTATTTTCAACCGTCAACTGTCGAATATGCCAAGCAAATAACTCGAGCACGGCTATCACTTTAAGATGCTTTGTTATAGCCGTTATTTTCACCCGTCTACTGTCAAATATGCCAAGCAAATAACTCGAGCACGGCTATCACTTTAAGATACTCTGTTGTAGCCGTTATTTTCACCCGTCAACTGTCGAATATGCCAAGTAAATAACTCGGGCACGGCTATCACTTTAAGATACTTTGTTGTAGCCGTTATTTTCACCCGTCANGTTGTTTAGTGTTGTATAATTAACACTATGTATAATTAAAAAATTTGTTGAAACATTGACCGAGTATTTTGCTTAAATTTGACCAACCGATACAAGTTTCCGATATATTTTCCCATATTTGATCTGGAACGAATTGTCATGAACGAATGAACATATGGATTGCTGTTAATATATTGGTACCTAAATAATTATAAGGATTGCTGTTAGTATATTGGTACCTAAATAATTATAAGGTATGCTGGTAATATATTGGTTCTTAAACGGATTTAAATTTTTCATGTTAGCGCTCAAGTTATTATCTCCTACTTAATTAGAACCAAAGAAACCTTTACTAACTATCATTGCATTTAATCTCATTTTTATTCAAACTCATTTTCTCTGTCAAATTACTTTCACTGAAATGTGGTCAGTGAATTGGCAGCGATCCTTGTAGCATTGAAGAGGCGGACGGTCGGGTATTGTGCCCAGGAACACGTCCAGTCTCTTGAAGGTCTCCTGGGTGAACTCCTCCTCTCTCAGATCCTTCGGTAGGACGTTAAACAGCCTTGACCCCACAGCAGAAAGAGATCCTTTCCGCAGGTATTGAAATATGATCGCAGATCTGTTGCGTAGTGTGGGTATCTAGCACGACTCAGTTGAGTCAAGACACGAGTCAGTTGAGTCAAGACACGAGTCAGTCGAGTCAAGACACGCGTCAGTGGAGTCAAGAAACGAGTCAGGAAGGGAAATGATTTGTACACAAGTAAGAATTCAAATGTATATTTTGAATGTAACAATGCGGCAGCGAGGAGGTCATTACACGACATTTGTGGTGCAACAGGAAAAGAGGATAAATAAGTCAATTGATGGTCACCATCACCATCGTCAATTGATCACCATCGTGACAAATTAAGTGATGGTGCACATCACCATCGTGATAAATTTAATTACTAATAACTGAGATATTTATGTAGCATGCGGAATAGAGGCATGCCTGAATTACAGAACCTAGTGAATAAATAGATTTTTAGGACGACAACAATGTCAGCATCATCGATCTTTTATGTTCAGTTGCAAAATACATTGAAGATGACAAAAAAATACAAATTTCAAATTGTGTTATACATCCACGTTGCCCATAAAAAGCTTGTCGAACTTCATCTACTCCTAATCTACATGTAACAAACATTATAATTTATAGAAAACTC